CCTGATACCGTGGTGGTCCGCATCAAAAAACTTGCTCAAAAGGGCTTGATTACGATAGCTAAATTTAAGTTTATAAGTTGTTTTGAGAGTGCGAATAAAGGATATTTAACCGCAGCTCCAGTTCCACCGTCGGGACTCCTGACTGTAATAAAATCGGTGAAGATAGAGAAAAAGAATGAATAAGCATTGTCTACAGGATCAGTTGCAGCTGCTAATGCAATTTTTGGCTGAGTTCTTTACTACTCATTTTTTGAGATATTCCAAACCAGCTTTTCCATGTACTTTATCGCGCAACCGACTTTTTGTCGCAGTGAGCTCATTTAGTGATTTAACTTTTATCCGGTCAGTTTTAGTACAACACGCAGTAATTTCTTCCTCCCGTTTTCCTCTCCCTCTCTCCACGCCCTTCTATGCTTTTTTTTCCGTACAGAAATTGTTTTTGACGGGACATTACCTCTGTGATTTGCATATATGTGCATGTACGTGCGTACATGTGCATCTGATAGGTCGAAGAATGAAAGTGCGAGGTTAGTGAAATTTGAGTAATACAGAAACGGGTCGTATGACTTTCACTTTCTTCTGGATGCGCCATATTGCTGTTCGTTGTGTTCGGTTACCGGAGCATGCGGGAAATTTGAATTATCGTCAGCAACTGCTAAGTATCCATAAGTCAGTAGTGTTATTTTTTTTCCTCCCGGAAGGAGTGAGAGAATTGCTGATTAATTATGTGAATGTACGCAGATGAAGTACTACCATATCTGGAAAAACCGGTGGATAAAGGCGACATCTCTCAGAGTTAGCTTTGTACCGTCGAGTAGATTTCTTTGAGTGGATAGAAATTACTCATTCCAATTTCTTTTATTCATTTCGAAATTATACTGGTGATGATATGCCAAAAATGGCTGTAACTTAAACCACAAGTAACTTAAACCACAACCATTGGCATAAAAATGCGAGTAAGCAGACCAGACGGTAGTTTTGGTTTTCTGTGTCTCTTTTTCTGTGCAGTAAAACTTTTATATCCAATAGGTAGTTGCTAATAGCAAATGTTGTCATTCAAGACAGTGTTCCAGAGAGATTGAAATGAGGAAGGAATTATGTTTTTGGTTTTTGTAAGGTTTCAGTTTTTCGCATTATTTTATTTCAGTTTTCATTGAATCTCGAAATGTTTACTGGCCAGTCATTGGCTCAGTGGTTCGAGCAGTTTCGGATGGTTATCGAACGACCAGTGCCACAAGAAGTGAACATCGTTAATGAGGATGATCGTGAAAGAACCGTATGGTGGAAATGTAAGAAATGGGCCTCCGCTATTATTGAACGCATTTTTGAGAGGTTCCACGACTTTTCCTTTTATAGGAATATTCAGTTTCGATTAAACTTTATAATTTAAGCGCTGAGGTCATTTTTCGATTTAAAAAATAGCGGCGCTCACGAGGGTGGCCGGTGCAATCATGTGTTTTACACAGTTTCGCCCAGCGGAAGTGTGCTTGCTAAAAATATAATGGTTTTACACTTTCTTGTGTGTACATTTTCTTGTATGGAATAATCGATTTGTTGTCTGGCTACTAAGCTGGGGATTTTCCTACTAAAAAATTCGTGTGCCGGCGCATGAAAGCTGAACTTGAAACCTTAAACAGACTGGGATCATTCTCCCAAATTTCAACCTCCTAGTTTTTCCGCTTCCGAGCTAGTGACTTTCGGATTAAAACTCTCACGTGGTCATACACAAGAAATCGGCATAGTTGGGAGCTAATTGTGGTGAGGCATCTGCACAAGCAGAATAATCTAGAATATTTATTCGTCTATCTGGAAAATTGTATACTTGAATCGAATTTCTATTTGCACTTGGACCATGACTTACAGCATGACAAAGATACGTAGCAAAGTGGCGACTTCACATACCGTACAAACTGCGAAGCTAAAATTTTGCAAGGATGTTCTTTATTCATGTTCGATCTAAATTTAGCTTGGAGACTAAATTCTCTGCACACGAACATGACATACTTTCGATTTTGTTGCAACTTCGAAAGCGTGTGCGTTTCATCGTCTTTCTCCCCCGGCATTCTATTAACTGTCAAATTTGCATTTTTCCGATGAATATCCAATCACCGGAAATTATTCATTCGTACGCATTTTTGCTGTGCAGCGCTATAGCGCTACTACAGCCAGCAAAAAAGCATATTGTCGAGAGGCTGTCTGTGTGTGTTCGGAAAGCGAGTGCATTTTGTCACCCACTTTCATC